CATGAATGACTCAGTCCTCAATAAGTAATTTTTTTTATTAACCTTTTATTTAACCAGGCAAATCCCACTGAGATCACAGATCTCTTTTGCAAGGGAGGCCTGAAGGCAGCCTGACATGCATGTTTTTGGCTGTGGAAGGAAACCGGAGTACCCGGAGAAAACCCACGCAACACGGAGAGAACATGAAAACTCCACACAGAAAAACCCCAGGTCCAACCGGGAATTGAACCCAGGACCTTCTTGCTGTGAGGCTACAGTGCTAACCACTGAGCCAAATCATAAAAAGATTACATATTAATATATTAAATATTAAAGTTTTGTTGGGCTGAAATGGTTAATTACTGAAAGTAGTAATACAATTTTTTTTTTTAATGGCTACAGTTTTGTGCAAACGTCCGTCTCCATCATAAAAAATGTTCGTCCTTTGTACTTTAACGTGTTGCTATTGTCAACAGCCGTTCAACATTAATGACATTTTAAAAAAATGGACAGAAATGGAGAGAAAACATTTGTCCTGTGGACACAGCAACATAAACAACTGGTTGAGAAATAAACTTGAACAAATAACTGCCATGCTAAAGTTAAAGGCAGGAGTTTTATTTGCTCATTCATCTGTAAAAGTTTTAGTTTTTTTTTTATCATTTTAAATTGTGCAAATCTGCTCTGGAACAAGTCCTCCTCTAAGCAGCTGCTTGACTCCCACATGAGCGTTTCTCTCCGATTTGTCGCACTGAGTTCACTCTGACTGCTGTCATCTGCAGGTAAGACACTGACTACACAGAAGAAAACTCACAAAGATCCCTGGAATAAAACTCTGCTCTAATCCATGAAGGGGGATCTTTCAGAGAAGATGAGTGAAAGTTTTCAGTGAATTAAATATTCACTGAGATAATTTTTAGAGTGGTGGATCAATCTACCATCGCTGCTCAACATAAACCGTTTGCATGCCTAAGTGCAAATCAATTACTGTTCATCAGGTTGAAAGTGTGGCTGATTTTTCCACCTATGGCTGAAAAAAATAACTTTGTTTAGCCGGTCTGAGACGTAACGTCCTTAATAAACGCTCACATTTAACTCAATATGTTTTTCATCATGTGTCTTTTCTCGCTTGCTCCTAAACCAACCCAGTGGCTAACAGTACCATAGTTTTCGGACGATAAAGTGCACCGGATTATAAGGTGCTCTAAGCGAAACAAAACAGTCAGATAAGTCAAACTTTATGCAACTCATTCACAATAATCACATAAAATCGGTTTGAGGTCAGTAAGCACAAACAGAATTAATGCATAAGGCTCAGTGTTGATTTTTAATAAAAATTAAAGGATTGTAAGTGCGTCTTATAGTCCAAAAAAATACGGTAATTATATTTTCTAAGCTGTTACATCTTTCTTCTCTAGTTGAATCTTCTGGTTATTGTTTAGGAGGCTGGACCCAAGCATGCAGACCGCTCAAAAGAGCTTGAATAAAAATAAAACTGAACTTTAAATAATGTGACGTGGCAGCAAAACTTTATAGGATAACTAACAGACACTGACAGCAGTTAATGACAAAGTCTTGGGGAGCTACTCCCACACAAAACATTAATATCTTCAAAATGAAGTCACTTTCATGTTTGAGGTTGCTTTGTGTCCAGAAGTTGGTTGTAGATGTCCATCCAGACATTGCTGCTAGTTTCAATACAATCCATGTGCTACAAGAGATATTTTGCTAACACCATAGGAACATAAAACGTTCTATCTGGGCCATATTTCTCCTCCCAGCTTTAAATTTAGACACAGGCAAATAAAAACACAAACACTTGTGTAAATTTTAATTAGTAACGTTCTAGAGAAAACGATGAACATTATGCTAATTAATCTTCACAGTTTGTGTTTTCATTGTGTAACCACTTCAGGGAAGAGTCCAGATTTTTTAAAGTATTATATATTTTTTAACTTTACGGGAGTTAATCTGCTGGGAAACGATCAACATTTTAAAAGGTGCCAGAGGAGACGGCGTCAGATTAACGTGCTTGTGAAACTTTTGGAGCACCCTGATGATCAATGACTCCGCCACGAATGTGGAATGTCAGAAATCTCCTCTGACTTCCTGTTTGTGTGCGAGTTCATCTCGGTCACAAACTGCTTCTCATTACGAATCCTCACATGACTCCGTGCAATTAGCGGCGGCGCTCTGCAGCCTTTGGTAAAACAGTCAGGAGACGCCGCCTCCGTCCGAGTCCTCTGCTCTCCATCACCTCTCCTCCGGGTCAACCGATCTTTGTCTTTCTACCATTTCTCGGGACACAACCCCAACCGCAAACGCTCATAATTAGCCAAGAGCGACTAGACTTGTGCTCCTTGTGTGAATGGCAGTGATTCTCTCAGGAAGAAGATGTCTAATCTCTCTTGGCTGCTTGGAATAGAAAGGAAACTTAAGAATGCAAAATGAGAGCCCACAAAGGTACTTCTAATCCCCGGGCCGCGGCCATCAGCGTTAAAGGGCAAATGGCTGATTAGATTGCTGAAACGGAGGCGAGGCATCCTGCAGTAATAATCCTGCCTGCGAGTGGGAGTAGATTGTCAAGATAATGTCTGATGCCCATCTGATTTCACTAACAAAGCTGCTGCTGATTCATATTTATCTTGACAAGAGGTATACATCTGAATCAATGCCTGGATGGCTGCTTTATTGGTCAGTGCAGCAGAGATGATGTTTTCCTATTAATAAACGCACGCACACTCAGAGTTGCTGGCACCAAAAGACTAATCTTCTCAAGTGTCAGTCTGAACTGTGGGGGCACAGCAGGTCTGCTGCTCCTCCTGTGGGTGTTTGCCTCCAGATCCACAGCTCGTTTCCTGCCCTGGGCAACATCTGCTGCAGCTCGGTGACCCCCTCTAAGACGGTCACCTAAAAACCCTCGTGTCCATCAATTTGTGCATGTTCTGTGCATGATAACTTGAAAATCAAGTGAGATACCAACTTCCGTTTTGGTGTGTTGCTACATAAGAAATGTTCCTTTAAAAAATTGGGTTGCCATGTCAAAATCCAAGATGGCTGCTGCCATATATGCAAACCTTGTGATAACTCGAACATGTAGCAACCTGCTGACTTCCATTTTGGTGTGTTGCTGCATCTAGATATAAAAAAAAGTCCCCATCAGTGATTGGGTTGCCCAGTCAAGATGTGAAACGAAATATAATCCGGCCGGTCCAATCATTTTAGGAAATGATGCTTTCTATTTTTATATTTATTAAAAGTATAGTTTCCTCAAATGATTGGGTCAAAAATAAGCAACATATCGACTTTCATTTTGGTGTGTGGCTGCATCTAATGATGTCGACAGTTGGGTTGCCAATCATCCTTTCTCTCTCTTTTTTTTTTAATACAACTTACAGTTTCCGCAAATGATTTGAGTGGTCGTTGGGGTGGCCCAAGATTAATCTGTGGTGGCCAAGACCACCATTGGCCACCCCCTGGCTCTGCCGTTGCTCCAGGTCGAGGATAAAATTTCTCCCTCCTCTTTCCTCCACTCACACAAAAAATAAATTAAAATGCTTTTCTTATACAAACCAACTCCTGCTAGATTAATTTTATTCTTATTGCATTAAATATTCCAACTGGGCGCCATTTTCACAGCAAAGTTTTCTCATTAAATGCACCAAGGATGAGGTTTTTGGCATCGACTTCCCAGAATCCTTCACATTGGCAGCTTATGTTGCAACAGAACCTGTTCATTTTTAAATTATTGGTACCTATATAAATGTGTATACACTACAAAAACTAACATCGTGTTGCACTCAAACTGTGCATGATGGTTCCTGTTTTTAGCCCAGTGGGTGCAGCAACCATCAAAAAAGGTATGAGACTCTTTGTCCTCTTTAAATAAGTAAAGCTTTTTAGTTGTAGGCGACTCATGACGCATTCCTTTATTTAATATAGATAAAACTTTAAAATTCCTTGTCATCTAATCAGAAAAATATTATTCATTTATGTCTGAAGTAACATTTTCCCTAAATAATTTCATTTTTTCCCTCTTTGTGTCATTTCTCCTCAACCTGTTTGAGCTCAGCTTGTTTTGATTTTAATTTCTAAAAGGAACGCAGCAGCTGTTCACATCAACAGGTTTTTCAGCTTTTTGTTTTTACCTCCACCTAATTTCTAACAGGAAGCAGGTTTGTGCCAAGACAAGCTGGTTGAGTCAGAAGCTACTTAGAAGGAAATGTATGTAATGAAATGTTCTTGAGTAAAGAAAACATTTGACAGGTTTTCTGTCCAAACACCAAACAGAAGTTTAAATGTAAAAATCATTAGCTGCCAAAAGAGTCATTTCAGCCATTTAAAACCAACATTGGCTGCAGCAGCAGCAGTTCAGTTTATTTTTGTGCCAGTTGAGAAAATAACCCGCCAATTATCTTGAGACAATCTTTTCTCGAGCTGAACTGTTCGGTTGTTGCAGCAGCACGAGCGCAGAGAAACTCGTTAATACACAAAATGTGCAGTGTATGGATACAGCTTCTGGATGCTGCTGTAAGAAAACACAAGTTTCTTTTTCTCAGTCAGTCTGAGCAGAATGAGACGCGGCGTGCAAATTTAATCTTGAATATCGTCACTATACATGGAAAGAAATCTACTTTTTTCCAGTGGAGTCAAGCTTTTATTTTTTGAGTCAAGTGACACTACAACAAAATAGCCCTAATTCTTTACCATTTTATTCTCCCACAAAGAAACGTTTAAAATAACAACATTAATCTCAGGGACTAACTGAAAACGACTAAATCGGATGAGGAAAGTTAGTGTTAAATGGGGAAAATGCATCATTTTCACTGTAAAAAATGCACTTGTGGTGGTAGTGCTCACGCTGTAACTCTTCATTCGGTCTCATTTCACTTCCTTGACATCGTTCAGCTAAAAACACTAGAATCCCTTTCCAGCAGTGATCAAAGTAGCAGTTTTCCTCTAAAACAGTAATAGGAAGGAGCCTAACGAGCACTGTCACATCTGCTCAGCAGCCCCGTTCCATCTGCATCAACATGGCTTTTCTCTCGCGCCTCGTCTTCATCGCGTCGTCGTGCTCTTTCAGGAAATTAATTCCACTTTAATTCCCTGGACCAGACCGCGCTTCCACTATCGCAGCTTCCGCATGTCCAGAGGGCGAGTCCAATTTGCCGTTGTTTCCAAACACAAATAAGCAAACTGCTTATTTAAAAAAAAAAAAAATGCACAAAATATGAAAAAAAAAAAACAGAAAAAGAATCCAAAGCATTCGTTTCCACAGTGCGTTGATTCTCTGTTCTCACTCGTGTACTGTGCAAAAATTAAAGATGCACACAAAAAGAACCAATAAATATACTTCTCTTTTATATACTTCTGTTTGATGTATGTACATATACACTGCATATCTTCTGAAGCTGGGCTTCTACATGAGTATACAGCTCTTGGCGCGGTCCTTCCTGATGGCCGGGGCCTGGTCCATTTGCTCAGTCCGACCCGGCAGAGGTGGCAGAGGGAGCTGCGACACTCGCTTCAGACCTCTGCGGGAACTGCTGCGCTTCAGCTGCGGCTTGTGCGGCCGCTGCACCGACGCCAGGGTGGTGATGTGGAACACGTCCCGAACGCTGTTCTCAGAAACCTTCGAGGTGCACTCCACGTAGGCCACCGCCCCCATCTGACGGGCTATTGTGCTTCCCTGGAACACCGATGGAGACAAAAGGGAATTTAACAGGAAACAACAAGATTTACTAAATAAATTAAAAAAAATTAAAGTGGGGTTACATCGACTAGTTGGTAGAGTGCACCGTATTTTCTGGCGTACAAGTTGCATCAGTCAAAAAAGCATCAAGAAGAGGAAACAAACATATAAGTCGCATTTATTACTCATCACTGTGGACCTGTTGTGTTCATTATGCATTTATTTAATGATCATAACAGCTTCATTTTGCCTGGGCGGTGTGGCACCATCCGTCCATCACGGCCGGGGCTGCTAGCGCTCCAGCATTCCTCCGCCTGCACCAGCTGAGTGAAGCGAGCGCGCACGGGAGGACTTTCTGTTTCAGTTCTTCGAAATTTAAAGTGTCAGTCAAAAATTGCGTTATGAATATGGAAAAATTTGCGTATATAAGTCGCTTTGGCGTATAAGTCGCAGGACTGACAAATCTATGAAACAAACTGCGACTTATACGCCGGAAAATATGGTATATTACCTGCAGTAGACAGCAGCCAGAATAATATAAGTTAAGCTAACAGCTACTCAAAAGTTCAAATAAATGTTATATTTTTTTGTAGTTTTATACCTCGTCGATTTTGCACATTGTTTTATTTTTAAGTTGTTACTATTTTGCCAAACGCATAATGTTTTTGGTTGTTATACATAATATAAGGGTGTGTATTGAATGTGTCCGGCCCGTTGTTGTAAATAAAGATAAGCCAAGTGACTCCATGAACATTCATTGTCCAAAATTGAAGACAAAATGTCCCGTTTTTGGGGGAACATGGGAGTTTTTGTGGGACTGTAAAGTCCTACACACCCTCCCAGGGTTTTTCACAAGGCAGCTCAGGTCGGGGCGTAGACGCCTTCTGGTGGCCCGTGTGACTTAAAGGAGGGTTGAAGCCCACCCGTCCCTGATGTGCCATGTCTTACAAAATGAGGTAGTAACAGAGCCAAAATGGCCGATGTGGAAAAAGTATGGTGGTGCAGTGGATCAAAATTGTAATGAAGTGATTCTTAAATCCTGTGGTGTCTGCACATCTGGAGGTAAATGAACCTTTTGAGTGTGATGCATGAAGAATGCACTCATTCTGTGGTGAAAGGGGGATCAGAGCAACACAGATCCGACAGAGCTGGTGTTGACGCGCTGAGATAAGAGAATAAACTCGAGCAGAAGTGCTCCAGCTCACCCCTGAGTAATGCAACAATGTTCCCAGATAATTAAGACTGTAAACTGTTTGCTCACGATCAAATCAAGCAAATTTAATTTAATTTTAAAACTCCCTTGGCTCTCCTCTTCACTACATGGCCTGATCTCGTGTCATGCTTTGAATTCGCGCAGGATTCATTGCGTGCGAATGTTGGAATGGACGAGCCAGAGCTGCGTTTTTAACAAACCTACAACCCAGTCATGGAGAAAGCTTTTCATCCCCGGTGGATGCGGTTTGATTTCTATCACACTCGTGAGCCGAGGCGTGTGTCAGGAGCAGCGGAGCCCTCGTTAGGTGGAACAGCGGTTTTAGATTCAGCCGTGGGGGCTGCAGCAGAGATTGTGGCAACAGGAAAACCTAGATCAAATCTCGGGCAGATTAGAGCAGAAATATCGGGGTTCACCCGGTGGTCAATTTCACTCTCAACTTTTTGGCTCTGCGGGAATTCAATTCAAGACCAACAATGAGATAACACAGGCTGCTGGATTAGAACAAAAAGATTTTTACCGTTTGCCTCATATTTTCTGGACATCTCGGAGAACCAAACATGAATAAAACGTCTTATTGTGGTCCTGCTTCTACGGTTTTATCACATTTTGGTTTATTGTGCTCGTCTGGTTTACATGTTTTTAGGGAATTAAAAGCATTTCTTGAAGGAACGCATTATTCTCTCTACAATTCACAACATTATTTTAAACTAAACTCGTCTGATCTTAATAGAAGTTTTGAATCTCACAGTCAAACCTTGGAAATACAGTAGTCGTATCGTGGGTTCGCTCTATCACGGTATTTCAAAATAAAATTGGACATGACACACAATTGGCTGATTGATGGATGAGCCGCACGATCAGCATGAAATTTTCATTTAAAATAAATTTATTTTAAATTATTTAGCACCTGCTGCACTTTTTGTGCAACCCACACTGCAGGATAAACTTCCTGCTGCAGCTGATCGGCTGATCTCGTGTAGAGCGGAGAAGTGGGCGTGGCCAAGAGCGCTTGCAGGTGACGGAGCAGCGGAGGCAGGGAGCTGAAATCATGATATTCTCTCCTTCTTGTTTATTTTTTTTGAGCGTTTAGAAACATTGTCTAGAACAGTGGTCCCCAACGACTACCGGGCCGCGGGTCAATTTATACCGGGCCGCACAGAAAAAACAAAACAAAAAAAAAACCTTTTTATTTTGAAGAATCACCGGATTCTCTCCACCACATCTGTCGATGCATAAGTTCCTGCGCTTTTGTGAACAATCTGATGTGAATCACTGCGGAGCAGGGAGGAGGATGACGAGGCTCGGCTGACCCCGGTGAGGGATATACTCATTAAATGAGAAATGATCCTGCCCTTAATACACTTATAAATCACACACGAAGTGATATTTCAAATGTTTGTTTCTTTTAATGTTAATGTTTATAACTGACAATCAAGCAACTGACAAATCAACTTTGTGGTTTTTCACTTATCGTGGGGCTTCAGGGTACGGATCCCCCGTAATAAACGAGGGACTACTGTATCATAATGAGCAATTTATCAGTGCTCAGAGTATGTTGGGTATTACTTGCAGCGACTACACCAAATTTTGCCTCATTATCTGTGTAACTGACTGAGTTATAGCTATTTTTGTGTTTAAATTTGAGTTATATTAATATCCATCCAGTGGTTCGTGAGATATTTTGCTAACGGACAGAAACGTGAACCATTGTCTGCCTTAGGAAACCTGTTTTTACATTAAAAGACCTCCACTTGTGTGTCTAACTGAACTGAATAAAATCCACAGATTCAGAGTTTGTTGTCACCTCTGCCCTCGTTCCTCCACCTCCTCAGTCTTGAGGTCATGACAGCTTGCAATACAAAGGACTCTCTTATTTATCAACGTCTGGTTTCTTTACTCGTCTTGCATTTTGAAAATCCCTAAATCTGCAGGAATATTTAATTTCTGTAAAAAACACGTCTCCATAAGCTCGGCTGGTCACTTCTTCTCTCTGCAGCCTTGAACATAAGCAACCTTTTATCTCCGCTCAGCAAATTCTGGTCAACATGCCGACCCCAGCAGGACGTCCACGAGGGACTTTACGCTGCACTTGTAGTGGTCGAGCAGCAGTTAATTGTGTTTTTAAAGCCCGTTTTCCTCCTCCGGGTCTCCTCATCGTGAGATCTAAAAAGAAATTATGTGACTGCTGATCAAACACAAAAATACCCTCGTCTTGCCGTTTTTTCTCTCCACGTTTATTGTTGCTGATTCAGCATTCGCATTATTGTTCTTCTGTTTATGGTTTCTTGAGCACATTCATGGAATCAAACATACTAATCATTTGTATGAAAATGTTCTTTTCCATTAAAAAATGGTGAGCTGTGGCTTTTAGTAGTTCTAACTTATATGCATTATTATACTATAAACTAGTTTTAGGCTTTATTTTGTTAACAACAACGCTTAATTTTTTTAAAAGTCCTTCAAACACTGTTTTCTGAATTCTAATTCAGCATATTGGCTCCATTTTTATCTTATGTTCCTTTAAGCCACAGTTTTCTTCACCTATTAGCTACAGTAATTTAGCTACAGCTTTTCTCATTTTAACTTTAAGCTACAATTGAGCTAGTTTTAGCTTTGGTAGTACTAGTTTTATTATTTTGCAACCATTTAGCTAACTTTGTCTTTTAGCTACAGATTTTCTTATTTTAGCCGTTATCCACAGTTATGCTGACTTTGCCCTTTAGCTACAGTTTTACTAACTTTTGCTTTTAGTTGCACATATTTTAGCTTAGCTTTTAGCTACAAAATTGCAATTTTTTTTGCTTTAAGCTTTGATTTAGTTCATTTTAATTTTAGCTAGTTTCTAACTTTGCATTTTAGCTACAATTTGCTAACATTAGCTTTAAGCTACAATATTGAAAACTTTTACTTTTGATTTAGCTCATTTTAAATTTAGCTACAGTTTTGCAAACTTCAGCTTTTAGCTACAGCCTTCACTTGTTAGCTACAATATAACAAACTTTAGCTTGTAGCTAGAGTTTTGCTAACTTTGGCTTTTAGCTACATATTTTTTTATCAGTTATCTACAGTTGTGCAAACTTTATCCTTTAGCTACAGTGTTGCTATAACTTTTGCTTTTAGTTGCACATTTTTTAGCTTAGCTTTTAGATACAATATTGCTAAGTTTTGCTTTAAGCTTTGATTTAGCTCATTTTAATTTGAGCTACAGTTTCCTAACTTTACATTTTAGCTACAAGTTAAAAGGTAATTATTTACTTAATCACAACTTTAGCTTTTAGCTACAGTTTTGCTAACTTTAACTTTTAGCTACTGTTTAGATAACTTTGTTTTAGTTGCAAATTGTTTATCCTAGTTTTTGTACAGTTTCCTAACTTTAGCTTTTTGTTACAGTTTGCTAACATTAACTTTAAGCTACAATATTGCTAAGTTTTGCTTTAAGCTTTGATTTTGTTCATTTTAATTTTAGCTACTGTTCTGCTTTTTTTATTTTCTGTTCTGTTTTACCTTTGACGATTCAGCTAACATTTCATTCTTAATAATAACTTTAAGTTGTCAATCGCTCACATGAAAGTTTTGATTGAAAGTAATTCCGTCTCTTTCTTAAGCACTTTATGTGGAAGTGTTTGTGAAGAGCCCGTCTCTCAGTATTCATGACCTTTCACCTCAGATATCCATCTGGTTTAGTCCTCACCTGCTCATGAGTGACGGGGATCAGCCTCTGCTTGGAGAGTTCCCTCAGGGTGTTCACGTCGGTCCTCATGTCCAGTTTACAGCCCACCAAAACCACTTTGGCATTCGGACAAAACTCTTGCGTCTCTCCTTGCCACTGCGGAAACATTAACAGAAGTTAACATAAATTAGACAAAAAAATTTTTTATACAGATACGAATGGAGTATCACTCTTTTTCATCCCACTGTGTATAAATATTTCAAGTACTGCGTTTATGATTTTTGTACAGATTTCAGAATAATACAAAAATAAAGTCAAATTTTCATTTAACTCATTTGTCTGTGAATAAACTAAAAAAAACAACTCAGTTTTTATTTTAAAAAAAAAAAGCAAAAATGGAGTCAAATATGTTCAAAGTCGCTGTAAGTTTTATTTCTGGGAGGGAATAAGGCACAAAAAACAGTTTCAAGATGCTTCCATCGTAACCGAGATTTGTCATTTTAAAAACTAAACAACTGAGAAATGAAACAAGAGCTTCATGGACAAAACGGTGAATTAAATAAATTTACTTTAACTCAACATGAACGAATGTAGGATCATCCACACTAAGAAGCTACCGACTAATATGTGTTTAAATAAAAAAAACACCTGCCGACGTTCAGAGCCAAACTGTGCGTTCAATCGTGCCAGCTGAGCTCAAATTTCTGCTGAAGTCCGTTACTCTGTCCTCGCACATTCTCCGTCAACAAATCTGTTTCAGGTTCTGCTCAGAAAAGCTTCATCTGTATTTCTTTTAAGATTAAACGTCAGTTCGAGACTCCGCTGAACCGACGCGGTCCCCGGCGACCCGAATGCTCGACAGCCTTGAGATGTGCTGCAGCCGTGTGCAGAACGTCACGGCATCCATTCACCCTTCATGACCTTTAACCTTCACCCGTTCTGCCAATAAGATGCAGTGAAAAGCTGTGATTGTTTAACCCCCTCTCCACCCCCAGCTCTCCCCCCCAGCCTCTGACACCTCCTGGTTTCTGAAGGTCAAGAGTCTAATTTGAGATTCTGATTGTGCAGCAGGTTTGCCGTGTGCCCCCGAGTTTCAGGGATTACCAGGATGACAACTGGAGGTCAGCGGGTCAAGGAAACCCCCCTGCCAAGTCATTCATGGGAAAAGCTACAGAAGCTGGAGTCGCTCCCCCCGCTGTGGACAGGAGCCACTGAGGCTCGTAAAATACGCGCAAGTTAAAAAATGGTGTCTTGGGTTAAATCTATAAAAACCTTCAAGGGCATTTTATCCGCTCCTCTACAGACCACTAAACACGTCAACAGGGCTCGTGGGAACTGGGGTCAGCCCAGGAGGGGTGCAGTTCAAAGGCAAACACACACACATGGCTTCAAGATGAGAGACCAACAAAAACCACAAGACTGCTTTACACGAGACACAAGCCCGTTCAGCTGGGCGTAAATTTTCCTCGGGTATTTCTCCATGTGTGGTCAGAGAGATGGTAGAAACCGTCCCAGACCGCGGAGGACAGCTCCAGCCCACGACGACACTCAGCCCTGCTCTACTGTTGGAATGATTTAACAACTAAAAGCCTCACATCCCTCGAACAAAAGTATGAGAGTTACAAACTAAGACGATTTTATGTTGGGAATTTTTCTTCTTCTTCTTCTTTCAGCTGTTCCTGCTTCAGGGTCTCCACAGCGGGTCATCCTCCTCCATCACTCTGTCCTCTGTCCTCACTCCATCTACCTCCATGTCCTCTCTAACTGCATCCATATATCTCCTCCGTCTTTTTCCTGGCAGCTGCATTTCTAACATCCTTCTACCAGTATACCCACTGTCCCTCCACTGGACGTGTCCAAACCATCTCAGTCTGGCCTCTCTAACTTTATTTAAGATGCAATAAGATAGAACTTTATTGATCCCTCAGTAAATTATGGTGACAGAGTTTCAAAACAAAGAAACAAACAAGGAATCATACAAAAAAAATCAAATTATCAAGAGAATATACAGTAAAAATACCAACAATTAAGTTCTAAAACAGGTGCAGACAGAAACATTAAAGTGTTTATTGTCGTACATGATTAATTTTATTGTCATACGTGTAGAAAGGGGGAGGAGTTGAAAAGTTTGATAGCCACAGGAAGGACTTCCTGTGTTGTTCTGTGGAGCACCTCGGTGGTCTCAGTCTACAACTGAAGGTGCTGTGGTAAGAGTCCATTCAGGGGGTGAGACGTGTTGTTCAGGATCTGGAGCAGGTTCCTCAGCATCCTCTGCTCAGACACCTCTGTCAGAGACTGCAGGTCCACTCCCAGAACTGAACCAGCTCTCTTGATGATGAGCTTATCGAGTCCGTTGGCATCAGCTTTCTTCACCCTGCTGCCCTGATACACGACAGCATAGAAGACGACGCTGGAGACCACCAAGTGGTAAAACATCTGCAGCATGGTCCTCAGACGTTAAAGGACCTGAGTCTCCTCAGAAGAAAAAGGCGACTCTGTCCTTTCTTGTAGAGTTCATTGGTGTTAGTTGTCCAGTCCAGTTTATTGTCTAGGTGGACCTCCAGGTACTTGTAGCAATCCACAGTGTCCACCTTAGCACCCTTGATGTTGATAGTAGGTTTTTTTTGGTGGTGGTGGGTGGGTGGGGGAGTGGTTGGGTAATCTTCTACATGTAGTTTCCCAGTTGTTCAACCTGTGCTGTACCTCTGATGATCTCATTCCTGATCTTCTCCATCCTTGTCACTCCTAAGGAGAACCTCAACATCTTCATTTCTGCCACTTCCAGTTCAGTCTCCTGTCTTTTTGTCCACGTCTGTCTCCAGACCAGACAACATAACCGGTCTCACCACTGTGTTGTAAACTTTTCCTTCGACCTTTGCCGACACCCTTTTGTTGAGAAATGACGGACATTATAACCATTTTGGTTAAAGATTGAAAATAAAAATTATGTCCAATCTCATACAAAGATTTTTCACATGACCCGATTATTGCTTGGAGTATGTGTTGAGTGACTCTCAGCTACTACCACCAAATCTTACCCCAATATCTATAAAATGTCTGATTTAAAGTCATGGCGTCTAGCTGGGTTGACTCTGAATCACAATGAGTTGAAGATGCAGGATTACTTTCCGAGTAGCATTGAAATCCATCAAGTGGTCCATGGGATATTTTGCTAACAGACAGACAAACACACAAATCATCACGTCATCTTCGCCTTCAGAAGCAATTAGCCACCTTTAAAAGCTGCCTCCTGTTCAATCCTTCAGCATAAAACTCATATTTTATCTTTTAAAAGTCTACAGAGACTCAATGTAAGAAGCAGCTCCCCTCATGTGGTCGGCTCATTTGCATGTTCCTCTCGAGTCCGCTCAGCTGCAGAGCTTCTCTTTTCTTTCTTCACGTTGACCTTTTATTTCTTCCGGGAACGCAGGTCAAGTGTCCATGGACATTTCGATGAAAGGAAAAGAACGGGAGACTTCGACCTCTGCACTGATTTACTCCATTGTTGAACCGTGAAAAGCCGCTGCACAGAAATCCGAGTCAATGAGATGCTGATCAGGATGGAAAAAACAAGTTTTCTTTTCCTGGTTTGTTCTCCTGCGTCCCAACAGATTTCAAATCCTGATGGAAAGTGTTAGGAATTCAAGGCCTGGCATCACCTGCTGTTCCTTTGTTGGAGTCGTTCTGGTCAAACTTTTTTGACCGATCTGGGTCAACTCCAAATAGTTAACGTCAACATTTTAAACATTATGTCGAGGATCAATCTCAACCACCAGCACACCAAACTTTAGGTCAACGCCGGTAAAAGTGACTGAGCTGCAGCCATTTCTGTGTTTTTGAGGTCAATTCTCTTTGGCAGCCATCTTGTATCAGGTTAACAAAAAAAGTTCATCAGTTGCAGAGGCACTTCCAACCTTTACTTCCTGCCTGTTTTGTTCAACTTTGTCCAGCGTCATATGAAATTGTTGGATAAAAATATCCTGCATTCATTTTATTTACTCAAAGAAGCCACGCTCGAGGACACAAAGATTTTTATGGTAAATGGACTGTACTTATATAGCCCCTTTCTACCTTATCGAGATATTCAAAGCGCTTTACACAACAATCTGTGCCTCATTTACCCATTCATACAGCTCTATACTAGATCTCTACAAAGCTAATTGAACAAATCATTCTAAAGAGACTAACCAGAGCTTTATCACATGCATACACAGATGGGACACACATCGGAGGCAGTGAGGGGTTCAGTGTCTTGCCTAGGGACACTTCGGCATGTGACAGCTGGTGGATTCGAACCCCCAATCCTTGCATTGGAGGACGGCAGCTCTAACCACTCAACCACAGCCGCCTATCCGGTTTAACTTGCAAGGGCAGACTTTCACAACAGGTCACTCAGATGTACATGGACCTCGGTCACGAGAATCTGCCATGGGCGGCGTGCGAGAATTGTTTTTATAACCTTATCATCTCTCACAGCTCACAGGCAGGCAGTAATGACCTCGGCCACCCAGCTGCACATGCAGGATCATATCGGTCCTCATTCAGCCCTCTCTGAGAGAGAAAAGAACTCTCTGCTAACTCATGGTTCATGGGCACTTAACATTCTCAGCCATATTACCGCAGTTAAAGAACATCCATAAATCTTGACTAAAATTTCCCCGACAGAAATATTTTGCTAACAGTCACACACACAGACACAAAAGCACAATTAAACCAACCTTCTTAATGACGCTGTCCAGCGTCTCCGGCCGGCTGATGTCGAAACAGATGAGAACAGCGTCCGAGTCGGGATACGCCAGCGGCCTCACGTTGTCATAATAAGAGGAACCTGTGGACACGCAACATATGGCAAAAGGTCACGATTTATTTTGAGTTATCCGTGTAAATTCTTTGCTTAGATTCAACCCTACCAGGGGTCTTTGTCCCAACCATATGACTTTAGAAAGCCACTGCACATCCATGGAAGGTGAGCTAAAGGTCAGAAATGTATGTGGAGCTCATTGCAGCTGGCATTGTGACATGCTGCAGCTTGACCGCACTCTGCACACGCAATTGAGTCCTAATCTTCACAGCTATGCATGGAGGTTTGTTTTCTCCAGGGCTTCCTCACAGCTGTGGCCTCCCTCTATCACAGGGCTTCATGGGAAATGTTTAAAGGGATAGTTTGGCCATTTTTTAAACAATTCTGTCAAGTAGGCATCACTACCTTGTCGGTCATGGCAGACAGAGCAGTTAGAAGAGGGCAGATGTCAACGTTCAGGCTAGGCTAAGGGCTAACTAAATGAGGTTCTATGTTTTATTTTTATTTTTCAGGCTTTTATGATAACAGGGTTTCTGCTTTTTGGAATCAGCAGATACCTGGGATATTGACAAATTAGGAAGATGTCGGCAGCAGTTTTGGCAACAATGAGGCTGCCTGCCTTATGTGAAGGATTGAACCGCGCTTCGAGCGCTCAGACTCATGCTTTGTGAACTGAACCGTAAGCTGGACGTGATTTCTGGTGGACCACTTGCAGCTCCTAGAGCTCGCCGGCATGAAGGAACCGACCTTGGAGAAGGCTAACAAGCACATATAGGCCAAATGTCCACAAATCTGGCTGCTTGGATTTGCCATTGGGTGTACCAGCAGAAACTATGAAGGCAGACATGAAATCAGTAGAGTCCAACTTCCCAAAACAATTGTTGTTTATCTGAATCCGGCCTCCCCGCTTGGCCTTGGGCAAGCCAACTTATCTCAAATTGCTCCTGGTGGATGCGTACATCAAGAAGCTCTGCTCCTGCTCCCATCCCCGAGAGCATCTGTGGACCCTATCAGAGTTGTACCGGCTAATAGGACTATGGAAACCATCTGGAAGTCAAAATGTATTCTGTCCATCTATGTCGCTTTATGCTGAAGTAGATTTTTTTGCTGCCTTACACTGTGTCTAAGGACATAGTGTAAGATCTTTTTTAATACCTTCTCTCCTCATGCTTTCTTCCCCTTTTCTTAAAGCGATAAGGGCAGCGCTTCTAGAAGCTGCAGCCCTGGTACACATCCGTCTACCCTTCGGACGGCTGTACGGAACGTAACTTCGCTGTACTTCTCTGTGCAATGACAATAAAGTTGATTCTGATTTGAGAAACTTTTAGAACATCACTTCAAAAATTACTGGACTGTCCCTATACTACAGTTTACTGTTAAGATCATTGCAAAAACCAACGTAGACACGTTCCTGTTTTGAGTATTTTACATTGCTTTAAATTGTAGCCGTTTTTGTTTCATTTTACATCATTTATTTTATTTACTTTTCATTTTGCATGCTTTTATATGATTGTCTATTGTTGTCTGTACCTCATTCGTGTTCTTTGTCTAAAACAGGTCTCTTGTAAATGAGTCCTTGCGACTCAATGAGACTAACCTGTATAAATAAAGGTTGAATGAATAAAAAGAATCCCATGAAGGGTTGCACAGAAAAGCACAGGAAGTAAAGTATCAGGTGAGGACTGGAGGATTTGTGCATATAACATCTCAGCGCTGCAGAAAGCACCAACCCAAAGGTTAAACTAAAGGTTGAATCTCTTTATTCTCAGCCTGCGTTTATTTATTTTTTCATTTGTGGAACGAGGTTCACATGAACGCACTTCTCGCTCTCCGCTCCCATGCCTGTGTCCTGATCACATTCAAAGACAAAGCATTGTCCCTGCGTTTGCACACGCCTCTCTGCTCCTCAGCTCCTGTTTCCTCCCAGCTCTCATTAGCAGACTCGTGAAAATATTTGGGCTTTTGTGGTCGTGCAGTAACACCCTCCATCCTGCCCGTGAGGACTTCATTGCCTCCTAAAGTCATAATGAAGCAGCTGTTTGGGGACAAACGTCCACGTTTCACACCACTAGAAACGTGAAAATAAAAAAAATAATTAATTTAAATATTTACACATTTCATGTGAATCATCACACTGAATTATCACCAAAGGAGAAGGGTGATAATGTGTTTGTCCTACCTGTGTGTGCATTTATCTGTAGGGTTAGTCAAATATCTCACTGAACAGATTTGAATGAAACTCACTGCTTGTACAGCTGCAACTGATTAACATTTGGAGTTAACTCGAATTTTTCATTCAACATTTATTTAAACAAGTTAATCCCATTGAGCCTCAGGGACTCATTTACAAGAGAGGCCTGAATTAAGACGGGCGCTGCAGCTAAATGATTAGAAATACAAAAATGGCAATGCCTCTGTTAATTTTACAAATACTGCTAAAACTTGAGTCTTTCTCAACACAGTTCGAGCACTAATACATCTCGTAAGATGAGACCGTATAATATCATGGAGATGATCCTAGGAGAACATAAAAAGCAGCAGGAGAGATCAAATAGAATAGACGTTTATTGTCATTGCATCTAAATACAACAAAATTTGAATTTGCTTCACAGAGCAAAAGTAAAAACAGTATAAAACAAATAAATAAATAAACAAATATATATATATATATATATATATATATATATATA